GAAATTTTAAGAGTAATACTTATGAGTAAATAAGAGTACATATTTATTATTATTTTCATTATTCATAGTTATTTTTTAAATCTTTGATAATTCTATAAAGTAAAGTAAATGTAATGGTAATTTTTTATCCTTATTTTTTTTTTTTTTTAAAGATCAAAATCTGAATATTTGATTATAAAAGATTCAAAGTGTAATAAATTTTAAGATTTTCAATATTTGATCCTGATTCGATGGCAATATTTATGCGAACAGCTACTGATCTTGACTGTACCTTATCATTTCACTGTCGTAATAATCAACCGCAACTAACTTTTGAATCAAATCGTACCGCTGCTAATGGATTAAAGTAATATATATATTTATTTATTTATGTATTATCTGATAATATCAGTTTAAATTTTATTATTTTTTAAATTAATAAGTCTGTATTTGGTTGAAAATTAGAATTAAATAATGTAAAAGATTTTCCTTTGTAATAACACTAATTATATTATTCATTATTGTTTCAATATTAATTCATTAATGAATTTTAAGTGATTGTAAGTAAGTTATTTACTATATTTATTATATTGTTGAAATAATAATAATAATAAAATTATAAGTAATAAACAAGGGTATATTTTTCAGAGGTGTAAAAGTATGTATGACTGAAATGGACGATGAAGTGCAAATTGTAGTGCAAACTAATGGAACTGAGCTTGATAAGGAATGTTGGAAAAAAACGGATAGAGCACAATTCCTATGGGCAATTCGTGGGAAATGTCAGAAAATTTTAACACAGTAAGCTTTCCCCTATATTACCGATCTCATAAAGATATTAATTAGGCGCTTCCAGCACTCTAAATAATAATAATAATAATATTTGTATTATTTTAAATCCATTCATTCATTACTATTATTTATTTCTTTTTTATAATAATTATTATTATCATTATTATTACTATTAACAGTAAATTGTTTTTTTTTTTTTTTTGTATAGTTGTAAATGTCGGAATTGCTATGAATTTGTAAATGTTCAAAATTTTTAGCATTACTACCAAATCTTTATAGTTTATTTTACAAACTTCATTTTTGGTAATTAAAAAAAAGATATAATGGAATGTTACATTAAAAAAATGAATTAAAATTTTGAGCATATAAACTTCCTCCTAGATAAATAGATATACTCTAAGGGATGGAAATGTTGGAATGTAAACATTTCCACAGTATAAAAACTGAAAAAAGCACACCTCAATTAAAATGGAATGCTTTTAGCATGAATTTTTATAAAATTCTGTGAATTTCAAATAAAATAATAGTTGGTAATTTTTTGTAGATTTTTTTTTTATAAATTTTGTAAAATTATAAAAAATTAGTGCTAATTTATAACCGGTAGAAGATAATTACGGACTAAATCCAACGGGCAAAACTTTTCTTATCCATTTTGATATTTTTGTTTAAATTCAACAAATTTTTATTTAAATTCAACAAATAGAGCCATAACTAAATGAGTAAATTAATTGAACAATTAATTTAAACTTTATTAATTTTTGTTTCAAAAAGAAAAAAAAAAACTTTTCAATTTAGAAGGTTCTTTTTTAAGCAGATTGAAATGTATTGAAGCAACAAATAATGTTGCATAACTTTTTTTAAAAAAAAAAAAATATTTTTAAATTCTACAAGTTAATGTTTTCTTTTAGCTTCTTTAATTAGTGATATTTAAATTTTATTAGTGCAATATGAGAAAATTTCACACTGTCAACTTATATTTTAATTTTAACATTTGTGAAAAATTTCGCTGTAAATTAAGAGAGAAAATTGTAGCAAACTAATGAAATAATAATTCTAATATTTATTGTGCTATGGAAAAAAATCTTTTAATTATTATTATAAAATATTGCTTTTTGTAAAAAATTTAAATGAAAGTAACTTCCTTTCTTACATATTTTTCCTTCCAATTCTAAGCAAATTTTTTTTTTTGTCAATAATAAAATTTAATATAATTCTGACATTGTTTAACTTTTAATATTTATCTAAAATTATAAAATTTCGATGATTTGAAAGATTGAAAAAAAAAAATACTAAAATTTTGCAAAAGATAAAAAAATGAAAAAATTTTTGAGTTTATAACCTGAATGATTATTAATCAAATTGTTTTATAATAATAGTTTCTTAATTAAAATATATCCGACATTTACAAATTTACAAATATTTTTGAATTTTTTTTTTCTTTTTTTACTAATAATTCTGATAGAAATTTATAGCATCAGATTATGATAATTTAAAATTTGTATCATATTGTAAATTATTATTGTTTGTTGTGTTTCAGGCAAAAGTTTTAATATAATATATTCATTTTTAAAATTTATTTTCATTTCATTTAATATTTACTGTCACATTCAAATTTATCAGTACTGAATTATGTGATAGTATGAATTGGATTGTTTAATGTCACCGACAATTTTAAAACTAATATCATTCTTAGCGATGTATTAATCGATATATTTACTTATTTATTTGTTTTTTTTTTTTTTTTTTTGATAATCATTGACTCTCAATAATTATTATAAATTTGTAGAGAAGAATGAAAAGAGTTTTGCATTATGGATAAATTATTTTATTTTTATTATTTTTTTTTTTGGGCAATTTTTTTTAAAAAAAAAATAAATAATTTTGATTGTAAATATCTGAGCAAAAAAGAAATAACTTCAAATAATTGCTATGTTTATTCTTATTTTCAATTTTCAATTGCAAAATTAGAATTCATTTATTGTAAATGGAATGAATAAATTTTTAATTAATTAATTAATTAATTATTCAATTCATTTCTTTCTATCAAATTATTTGGTGACATATGCAATGATTAAATTTGGATTGTTAGGCGGTGTATTTTAAAATGCGATAACAGGTTCTATTTTTATTTCTTGCTTTCTTGATCTCACGTGATATACGTTTAATTTTATCCATTGTATTGATTAATTTTTATCAATTTCACATTTCAATTCAATTCCATCTTTCATCTTAATAAATTGCTATTATTTTTTACTTTTATTTCCTAAAAAAACAAACAAACAAACAAACAAATACATTTCAATGATAAAATGGTACTTAAAACTAGCAATTTGTATATTTATTGGAATTGTTGAAATTATTTGAAATTAAAAATTAGAAATTATGGAGGAAAAAATGAAAGCGAAAATGTTTATAAATATAATAATAAACAAAAAATGAAATGGTTATTACATTACATTCAATCTTTGCTAGTTTTGTCTTTTTTTTTTTTTTGCAAATATTTATTGTTGTCATTATTCCTTTCCTAATTTTACTTTTTATTTCATATGAAAAAAAAATCATTTAACATATTGTTTTGAGGGTAGCATTCATTAAAAAAAATCATTGAAAATTATTTTTATAATTTTATCAAAGATCAATTTTCTTTAAAAATATTTTATGAATACTTTTTTTTTTTTTTTTTTGCAATTTATATTATTTAATTTTTATTAAAGCCAATTTAATTTTTCATTTAAAAATCTTTACTGATATCTAATCATTTTTCTTTTTTTTTTTTTTTTAAATATTTATTGTGCTATGGAAAAAATCTTTTAATTATTATTAAGATGGAATTGAATTGAAAAATTTTTTTAAAAAAAAAAAGAAAAAAGTTCATTTTTTTGGCACGGGTTTTTGAAGAAAAAAAAGTGTAGTTTTTCCTTTTTTTTTGTTTTGTTTTTGTTTTCTTTCATTCTATACTTACTTCTTTCATTATTCATAATTAATTTTGGTATCATTTTATTATTAATTCTTACTTATTTTAGATCTCTAAAATTTAATTTTATGAATTAAATTTAAAAGAGAGGAAAAAATAGTTCTTATTCTCAAAGCAGTTTTTTTTTTGTAAATTTTTGATAAAAGTGAAAAAAAAAATCATTTTAGCATACAATAATTTTAGTCAAAATGGAAAAAAAAAAGGAAGGAAAGAATTTATTATCTAAAAAAGATTATTTTCTTAGTAATTAAAATAATTAGCTGCAATTTATTAATTAGCATCAAAGACAAAAAAAAAAAAAATTGATAGCTTATCTTCCCATTTTATTAAATTTATTTGAATTTGAATGCCCAATATGAGTTGGAAGTTTACAATTCTCATATTCTCCTCATTTGTTTAAATTTTTATTTTATTTTTTTGTTTTGTTTTTTTTTTCTCAATGATATCTGATTTGTGTTTTTATTTCGAGCTTTATCATACATTGCTGTTATTTATGCAAAATTTTTTTTTTAAAAAAAATTAAATTTGTATTATTTAATGAAATTTGAAAGGAAATAAATGATGAATGGATTAATATGATATGATTGTTTAAAATTTTTTTTATCAGTGGCAGATAACTTTATAATGATATTATCTCATTTCAAAAGACAACTTCTAAATTTATATGAATAGAAGAGGAAAAAAGTGATAAATTTTTATCGGATAAGGTTGATAAATTATCTGATATGATAACATTTTATTGCAATGATGTGACAAATATCTAATTTATTTGAAAAAATATATATATTTATCTAAATATTTGCCATTTATAGTAGTAAATAATAGCGAATATAATTATGAATGATCAAAAAAAAAAAAATCAAATTTTATTAAAACAATCATTGTTGAAAGATATCATTTAGAAAAATCAATTCATTTCAATTTTTATAAATATCTTACATTTTCTTTTTAACATTTTAAAAAAACCAAAGTTTCATATTATTATTATTACTTACAAATAAATACATCCTATTATTGTAGGTATTTATTTTTCATTTTTCATATTAAAATTAATCAAATTATGTTTAGTTTAGAAACATTCCGGAAATATTTAAAATATACATAGTGAAGTAAGGTATTGCTTAATTTATTTCTTTTCTTTTTTTTTTCAAATATATTTATTATTCTTTTCAATAGGGAATATTTCGAAAATGAAAGAGGAAAAAGAAAATTTGATAGATAAATAAATAAATAAAAAATAATATTATTTATATATTTAAACATTATAGAATGGTGATGCCGCGGATGTTTGTAATTCAATTTGTGAAATTTTATAACGTACACCTTTAAGCCATTGTTGTAATGATTCAAAATTTAATGATGGTTCATTTTCACAGCAATCTAATTTTAATCGTAATTTACTGGGAATTTGAGCATGATAAGCGGTTAGAATTGGTTGCCACATAGCGCCTAATTGACCAAGTACAGCTGAGCTACACTGTCGCAGTGCTTGCATTGTATTTAGAAAATGTAAATTAACCATATCTGCTAACTGAAATTATTTAATTATTAAATAGGTCAAAGGTTAATTAATTATTCCTCATTCCAAATGTTTATGATAAGAAAATGTATTATCTAATTGACATTATCATTTCGAGCATTTTTTCTTTTTTTTTTTTTAACATTTAATATTTGAAATATAATAGTTTGTGTATGCTATGCTTATCTTAAATTAATTTAAATGAACATACAACTTTGGAATGTGATAAAAGCTGTAGAATAGCTGGTGTTACTCGAGCCCAAAAGTCCAAAATATTAGCTAATGAAGAGACTTGTGGCTCATCTGATGTTAGTGCAGCTCGTTCACAATAAACAGTCCATAATTGACATAAATGAAAAGCATGGAAAAGTGCTGACATATGAACAACTGATTCCTAAATTTTAATTTAAAATAATAAAACAAAATTTAAATTATGAGTCTAATACAAATTAATAAAAATTCAATAAATATATTTATATTAAAAATTAAAGTTATTGGCCCTTTTTTTTTTCTAATTTTAAAGGAAATAAAATTTAATATTAAAAAAATAGAAGAAAACACAAACAAAAAAAAAAAAACCTTTGATTGATCAGCAAAACCAGCAAGTACAAAATGTATATAATCAGCCATATATTGTGAGCAACTAATTGGTATCGGTAAGCATGGTTGATTAGCTTGAAGTGCTCCAACTAACAGCCATGAAAGTAAGCGTACGTTTGTTACAGCGTCAGCAAATGCATTTGGCGTAGATTGCGTCACAGATGGCGGTGATACTAACCATGGCAAATAACGATTCTACAACATATATTTCCTCTTTCAATGATATATTTTATAAATGTGATCAACAATTAATTAATTAATTAATTAATTAATTAATTAATTAATTAATATATTACTGTTAATAATTAATATTAAAATTATTTATTTTTTTTTCTTTATCAATAAAATTTTTATTTTATAAATTATTTCGATCATGGAATTTCAATAAAAGAATTTAAGTGAAATATTTGATTAAAGTACTAAGAATGAAAAAGAAAAAAAAAAAGATTAATAGATCTGAAATAAGTCAAGAAAAAGTTAAAAAAGAAGATAAAGATTTGGAAAATTTTTACAAATATTTTTTAAATTAGCTTATCATATCATGTTTTTATAAAGAAATATTCAAATGATAATTCTCTCTCGTAATCTTATCAATATTTCTAACAAATGATAATAGGTATTTACCACAGTTCGAGAATCACGTACACCTGATCGACTCATTTCAACGCCAACAATTTGTGCTACGGATGATTTGATATCACCACCAGTACTATCAGAATTGGTAATTCTCTAGAATACAATTTAAAATTTAAATTGATTTAAAAGGATTCTAGTTAAAAAAAAAAAAAAAAAAAAACCAATGAAAAAAGTCAAAATTTTAAAAAAAGAAAACAAATAAAAAAGAAACTATTTTATGGAAAATACTAACAAATTATATAAAAATTTTATTTAAAATGTATATAAAATATTTACCTTAATTTCAGTTAATACATGTAAATCTGATATAAAATCAATAAAATCAAAGATATATGGTCGAACAGCATCACAAGCTGCTGTATTATACTGAAAATTTGTTTTTGATTAATAAGAATAACAAATAATTTATTCAGATTAAGATTAATTGTTACAAAAAATTTCATCTATCAAGATATGATTTATTAATCTTTAAAAAGTAAATCTAGACTACAACAAATAGTAGTAACTTTAAAAAATGAAACATTTTAATTAAATAATTAATAATAGAATATGGGAGAATAAAAAATAGATAACTGTGAATAAAGAAATGAATAAAAAAGCAAAAACTAGATAACGAAAATAATAAAAATTTGTTCTATAAAGCTTATTAAATCTACTAAACATTTTACTTGAAGATATCTAAAAAAAAAAATTCTTTTTTAAAAAAATATACATACATAATATTTACAAATAGATAATAGATATTACAATTATATAAAAATTAAATATTAAATAAAAACATTAGGCAGTAATAATTAATAATTGATAATAATTAGATAAATGATAATAACACAGTAATAATAATAATAATAATAATAATAATAATAATAATAATAATAATAATAATAGTAATAATAATAATAATTAAATAACAATAATATAGTAAAATAAATAATATAGTAATAAAATGATTAAATAATTGAATAAACATTAGAATATTATAATTCATAATTATAATATTTACCTGATCATCAATAATTTCCTCTGAAACATCTTCACCAGCATCTTGCAATATTAAATTTAATACAACCATATAATTATGCTCATTCATATCACATTTAAATTTTAATGCTTGTACAAGCTCTGAGACAATTGCTTTTGTTAAGAATTGCTTATCACGATCCTGAAAAAACATTTGAATAAGTTAACATTCAATGATAGTACTGTTACTATTAAATTAATTAATTAATTGAAAAAAAAATGAATTTGAAAAAAAATTTTAAATGAATAATTTGAGAAGAAAAAAATTATGCAAATTTTACCCTTAATAAGGCACGATTACATGCCGTACAAACAGCTAAAAGATCTAATAAATCAACTTTACATTCATGTAATACTTCTGTAAGCCATTTCGAGAATCCTTCTACTAGCGATATTGAATTCTGTAATAATTATTCAGCTAATAATTTAAATTATGAATTTAATGGATCTTTTCAAATTATGTAAATATTTCTTTTCTAATTTTCTTAATTAATTAATCAAAAAAAACTCTTTTCTAATTTTCTTAATTAATTAATCGAAAAAAAAGCATTTTTTATTACTAAATTTTCAAACCTTAAATGTAGATTATGTACACGTAAAATAGCTACCAATACACCGATTTTTTTAATTCAGTACGAATTGGATTCCTATCAGTTTGCGCTTGAATCTGCAAATTCAATGTTTAAAATAGACTTTTAAACTAATTTTCTTAATTACTTTTTCCAGTATTATTAAAATAAAAAAAAAAAGTGAAAAAAAAATTCAAACCTTAAATGTAGAAAAGTTATGTACACGTAAAATAGCTACCAATACACCGATACAATTTTTTAATTCAGTACGAATTGGATTCCTATCAGTTTGTGCTTGAATCTGCAAATTCAATGTTTAAAATATACTTTTAAACTAATTTAAAAAACAAAAATTTTTAAAATTATTTGTAAAATAAATTAAATAACTGACTGTCGTCTAATTGTATGAATGTTTACAGTAATTACTATTAATTACTATAAAAATTGACCAAAAATTTCAATTATTTTTTTCTTTTACATCAAAATATCAAAAGAAATGAATGTAAAACAAAGTATTAAAATAGAATGAAAGTGGATTAAAGTAAAATAAGAAAAATTAGAATTTTTGTGTAAGAAAATGAAAATACTTACTTTCGAGAGATATTGACGGAAGAATGAGTCGAGTAGGTTAGTAACGATACTCCAATGCGAGAAATACGCATCAGGAGATACGTATTCCACGTACGTTGACAAATTAAACAAAATTCGAGACAATCGATTAGGCCAGTCTTCCAGGATATCCTGAAATAGTTTTCTTTAATTTTATTCATTCAAATATTTTATTACTATTATTTATTTATTTATTATTATTATTATAAATTATTATTACAAATTATTTATTCCAATATTTTATTACTATTATTTATATATTTATTTATTATATTATTATTATAATTTATTTATTATTATAAATTATTATTATTATTATTATTATCGTATCATATTATATAATTTAAATAATATAGTCATTGCTATGAAATTTTACTTTGCTAATTCAAATTTTAGCAACTGACTAACTTCAAGCAAATATTGAATAACAGAAACTGGATTTAATTCAGGAAAATCAGTTAAAGCAAATGATATTGTAGACCAAAATAATGTTTGTTTAATATTTACGTAAATATAACTACGTTATCAATATTTGTTGCTATAAATAATAATATAAAATATAAATATAACGTACGTCTTCCATGATACATTATTTGTTGCTATAAATAATAATATACGTATCAATATAATTAATTAATTTATTTATATTAATTAGTTAATTAATTACATAATTAAAATAATTATACATTTTTTTTCATACAATCTAATGTAATTATTAATGAAAAGTTTTTTATAGATAAAAAAACGAAAACTTTTTGAGAAAAAATAATAAAAATATTTAAATTTATAAGGAAAATTTCAAATTATCATAAAATGCAAACTTGATGTAATAAAATACGAATTAATTGTTTTGCAACACTTCGACAATTTCCAGCAACAAACATCAATGTGTCATGCCATGGATACAATGGTCTTTCAATTAATCTAAATATTATTTTATAGCTATTACAATCTCTATCATAAATTCTTCATAGTAAATATATGTAATATAATTATTTTTTATTTCGAAAAAAAAATAACGGAAAACATTTTTCATATAATAATATTTCATTTTATTTATATAATATTTAACTTTATATAATAATTTTATATAATATACAACTTTATACCATACTTTTATGTGAAGTATTATATACTTTATACGACACTATTATATTTATATTATTAATGCAAAATTTAGAACAGAAAAATATTTAACTTTAAACGATATTTTTATATTTATATTACTAATGAAAATTTTAGAAGAATACGTAAGTTTATATGATACTTTTATATAATATTTATATATATATATAAACTTTTTTTTAATTTTTAAAATTAATTTTCTTTTTTAATTATTAAATTTAACCATGGTGACATTATTTGTTGCTATAAATAATAATATACGTTTGTTTAATATTTACGTAAATATAACGTACGTCTATCCATGATTACATTATTTGTTGCTCGATGAACAAATGTTTCCAAAGCAATCATACACAGTGACAAGGTTTCTTCATCAAAATATCGTAATAATTCATTGCAGTAACCACATATTTACGTAAATATAACGTACGTCTATCCATGATTACATCATTTGTTGCTATAAATAATAATATACGTTTGTTTAATATTTACGTAAATATAACGTACGTCTATCCATGATTACATTATTTGTTGCTATAAATAATAATATACGTTTATTTAATATTTACGTAAATATAACGTACGTCTATCCATGATTAACATCATTTGTTCTTATAAATAATGACACACGTTTGTTTTATATTTACGTTATTTGTTGCAATAAATATAACATTATTCTATTTATTTATTATTTCTATTTAATTCTTACTAATAATCAAAAAAAAAAAAATTATTCATGATAAATTATTTTAAATTAATTAACAATATAATATACACATATTTGTAAATTATTGTAAAGAAACTTTTTCGAAAACGACGTTTTGTGCAATCCATTTGTTTCTTTTTACTATTCTCAATACCTTCTTCTTCAATTGCTTCTAATTTTCCTTCATTTACCTCAAATAAATGACACTATCATTATAATTCATACACATATAATTAATCATAATTTTAAAAAAAAAAAATTAAAAAATAAACTGGAAATTTAATGACAAAATGAAAATTTTGATATTATGCAATTTTGCATTTCAAAAATTTTGCATTTCAATTATTAATGATCGAATAACTTGTAAATAAATAATATTTAATATAAGAAAATTTACAATAAAATAATTTTAATTTCTTTTTCAAAGATTTTTTTTGCATTCTAAATTATAAAATTGAAATTATTCAAATTCATTATTTTTCATTTCAAGACATAAAGTCTTTTTTTCATACTACTATGATTTTTTATAAATATTCCCACTCATATAACTTACATCAATAACAGAATTAGCTTGTGAACATAGAACAGTGAGTGTTTCAGGTCGATGTAATTTATCAGTACCACAATCATTTTCTAATTCTTCTTCATCAGAACTTAATAATGGATCCATTTCAATTTTTATTGGTTGTGCTTTCATATTACAAATATGAACCTTTAAAAAAAATTAAAATTATATTGAAAAATATTGAAGAAAAGGAAAAAAAAAGAAGTGAAACCGTCAAATGTGTTTTCTATTAAAATTGGGAAAAAAAACTGAAATAATGAATCAGAAATTAAATAATAAAATAAAGTGTATAGCATACAGAATTAATTGATTACCTCAGTTTCAAGAGTGCAAATAATTATTGAAATAAGTTTTTGTAAATATTCGCTAAGTGGTGGCGCATCATATCGATACTATAAATATCGATGTAGAAAGTAGATGAAATCATAATCAAAATGATATTAAATTAAGAAAAATTATGCTTTAAAAAAAAGACAAAATAAAACAAATTAAATTGAAAGCTTAAAATAATCAGTAAATGATTAATTAATTAATTAATTAGTCAATTAATTAGTCTGTTACATAAGTAAAGTAAGAGACTAAAGCAAACTAATACATCAAATTCAATATTCTCGAGAATAACGAAGTTAAATCACAAATATTTTTATACCAAACATATAAAACCTGTAGATGCCTAATTTGAATATTTTTCTTCTATTTTCCACGTGAGTAACGTGAAAAAGATTTATTATTTAGGTCAAAAAATTTTTTTTTGCTTCGATTTCAACTTTTTCAAACGACTATAACATTAAAAAAAAATCATTACTTCATTATTATATAAACATATTATAGTTCATTTAAATATTTGAAAAAAAATTTTTTTTCAATTTCAAGAAAAAAAAACCTTATAAAGGATAATAATAACTGCATTGAGCCAAAAATGCCTAGCATTAATGTCCAATAATGTAAGTGAATATTCGACCAATGGTTGATCACTGGCCAATTTCTGAGGCGATGGTAAATGTAGTAAAAGTTGTACACCAAGCATTAAAATCTGTAATATATTATTTAAAATTAAATTTTGCAAAAATTATTTAGAATTAACAAGAGTAAAAAAGTTAATCCCAAATAATACTTTAGTCTTACTTTTAGTCTATAAAGCACAATACCTTAGTCTATAACAGACTAAAATAATTTTTTGTATAAAATATGAAAATAGCTAAAAGATATATTATCATTTATTGATAAGATAGCATTGAAATAGTAATTTGATACTTTTAACTTTAGCTAATATACATTAAAAAAGTACTTCAAATTTAGTATAAAAAGAACTATTTTATTAAGTATTTTTAGGTAATTAATTATTTTACCTGATTACCCACTACCAAATTGCAATCCAAAATTTCTGGTAAACCACTTAAAAAGCTATTACATACTGCTGATTTGCTGAAATATTTTAGCATTTTTCTTTTCTTTTTTTTTTTTTTTAGCTTAAATATAAAATCGTATTTTCTTTTTCTTTTCATATTTTTAACTTAATTATTGCAAATAATTTAAATTCATTACAAAGATATCTTTTTGACTTTTAGCTTATTTTATAACTAATTAAAAAAAATTTAGCAAATAATTAAGTTAAAATATGTAATTTGAAAAAAGATATATAAGTAATAATTACAATTAAAATTTTATATTTAAATATTTGAACAAACCGTAATATTTTTGGTGGTATGGTGAAGCATTTCTCAGAATTACTGTAACCAATGAGAGCATTAAAATGTCGAAATAATAAACTTTGTTTTTTAGCATTTGCTTTCTCATCGCCACCTTTATTTTTACAAAGAAATGATACAAATAGAGAAACGGTCAAGTAAACAATGTATCGTTCCGGATTATCAATATCAACAACTCGGTTCATCAGTAAACACATATTACTCTCCTCATCCGTAAATTCTCGTAAACGTGAAAATGCTCCTGGAAATTAATTACATTTGAAATTAGTTATTTGAAAAGTTGAAAAAAAAAAAGTTTGTTGAAATTTTATTATGGCTCAAATTTATATTAGCTACATATGTTCAAAGGAATAATAATAATTTTATTTACTTATATCATTAATAAATTAACAAATAATTAATTATATTAATTTCATTCTATCAATGTTATTATAATTTTACAAACAATCAACTATTTATTTTGATAATATTGCAAAAAAAAAAAAAAAAAAAAAAGGAAAAAATGGAAAGAATGATAAAATTAATTGGAAATTTTAAAAAATGAATTCAAATTTAAATTTAGCAATTGGAAAGTAAATTATGATTTAAATCTAGAAAATAAGTTCAAATTTAATATTTGAAATAATTTTTTGTGGTTTTTTTTTTTAGTTCATAGTTTTTAGAAATCATAAATTTTTATAGAATAAAACTAACCACTACTATGGGATGTATTATGCAATGATTCTTTCATTTCTTGCGCTAAAAAAAAAATTTAATATATAAATAAAAATTATTATTACAAAATATGAGGGAAAAAAAACATTTCATTTATGCAAAAAGGGATAATTCTAATTTAATTATTTCTTCTATATGCCAAAGGATAATACAATATTGTGCATTTGATTAACAAAGTGATAAGTTTAAATTCATTGATAAGCTTAATTGTAAAAAAAAAACAAAAAATAATATCATATTAAGTTAACTAAAAATATTAAATTATCTTAGAAACTATCACAAAAATTTTAATAATTAATGATTATAATAGAAAATAATTTAATTAGAATTATTATAATTCTTTTTCTTTGCTCTTTTTTTTTTTTGCCAATATTAAATGAATTATTATAAATTTTTTTTTCTTCAGCTAAATTATTTCATGCTTACAAAATACATTATACAAAAAACAACAATATGATAATTAAAATGGAAATAATCAGATGAAAATGAATGGGATGAAATTAGAAATTAAACTAATTAATTAAATGCTTAATAATTAATTAAAAAATAAATTTCTAATTTAAACTAATTAATTAAATACTTAATAATTAATTAAAAAATAAACTAAAAGTTGTGATAATCAATTTTTTTTAATAATTTTAATTTAATTTCAATGGGTAAGTTAGTTAATATTAGGGATGAAATAGTGCAATGGATGATTAATGATGGATAAATGTGCAACATTCACAACTATACAGTGCATAAAGGATATGATAATGATAACGATAGTGATAATGATAGTGATAGTGATAATGATAATGATAGTGATAGTGATAATGATAATGATAGTGATGATATTGATGATATTTGTTGAGTACATACAATTGATCGTTGATCGAGCCAAAGCATTTGTAAATAATTGCAGATGCTTAGATAATTTCCAGGTAGAAATAATTTTAACGATTGTAACCAAATGACGAATCTTCTTTCTACCACTGATTAACGCACTTGTACGTCTTTTCACTTCATCATATTTCAATTCAGCAATAATTTTCCCTTTAGTTAATTAATTAACTAATTAACTAATTAACCCAACATTTTTTTAAAGATTCCTGCTTCAATAAGTTAAATTTTTATAATATACTATAAGTTAGCTTATTGTTATAAGCTAATTATAATTAATTAAGAACTAAAATTCATTATGAATATAAAATAAATTCGTATAATATACTTTAAATCTATTTAAATACTGTACAAATAATGAAATTTACAATTAATTAATAGATTACACATATTTTAAAGCTTTAATTATTCATTCTAAATGATATTAATGATAGCGATAGATTAATTAATGATGAAAGAAAATGATATTATAATTGATCGAATTGAAATCAAAGAAATGAAATCAGTATTGGATAGCTTAGAGTTAATTTTATTAATAAGTACAGCAAAGATGCAAAGATGGTTATTTATTTGATAATTTTCAAAATTTTATAAATTTTTAAGTGAACAATATTCATTTGATCATTTGTCATTTTCTAAGTAATTGATTTATATGATATTTATAAATTATCATATGATAAAAAAGGAACAGAAATACAATATCAAATTTAGAAGTTTAATTTTTTTTCCTTTTTGTTTTATTCATAATTTTTATTTCTAATTCATGTGAAATTTAAGTACTATTTTGAAAGGAAAAAAAAAGTAAGAAAATAGTTACAAATTAATTAATAAGAAATTATTTACTTTAATTAAATCATTTGCAAAAATTTTTTTTTTTATTTTTTGAATAATATGTGAAATTTTAAATAACCTACATGACGATGGTCGAAATATTGCAGTACTAAGTTGATGACACATTGAATTATTTTGTAAAGTTCGAACAATTGATCGAGCATTACAACTATTCTCGATAATTTGACGAGCACGAGTTAATTTTCGTTGATATAATTCACTCAATGGATCCGAATGAGTTAGATCTAAATTTTAATTTAGTTTCAACTCTCTTTTTTTTTTTTTTAAAAAAAGTCATTTTCCTAATTTCTATTCAAATTTTAATCATATTTTATGTGTTTTAAATTCAATTACTGTAAATTTAAAATACTACACAATGTATTATTGAAAATGAAAAATAAAATTACTGAATAAATAATGCGTTATTTTATTTGCTAAATTCTACAAATAGTAAAAGAAAAGAAGAAATAATAAATAATTTTATGAATGATTTAATTTTATAATTAATTAGAAATGAAAACTAATTAGTTAGACAAATGAAAAGTGATGCAATTCTTATTTAAATTATCTGATGATATGAAAATATCAATGACAATCATGAATTATCACCTTATTAAATAAAATTTGAAAAAAAAAAGAAACTAATGAATAAAAATAAATAAAGAAAAAGAGAGTTAAGCATAATGTTTTAGAATTTAAGGTTAAGTTTAGAGTTAGAGTTAACAAATACATTTAGCGCAAGTGCGCAAATGTACCAGAATAAAATAAATGAGAAATAAACCATGAATAAAATTAGATTCTCCATTCTTTGCAAGAAGTTGACTCTCAATTGCAAGTCCTTCAAATCGTTGAATGAAAAATTCCCAGGTGAGAATTTCTACATTTGGAACAATTGATGTAAGTTGTTGAATTCGAGTGATAATTAATGCTCGATCAACAATTGAACTATCAAATTGTGATTCCAAACAAAGACACATCAACTATAAACCATAATATATAATTATTGTTAAAATTTTAAAATCAAAATTCAAAAATTTTAAATTTAAACTCGCTATCACTTTTTTTTCTTTCATTTGCAATTTCAAAATTGAATAAATTAATAAATCATTCAGCAATCTGTATGATTAAATAAGAATTTATTAATTTAACAACAAATGAATGGCAAAAAAATCTTTTTTTTCTTTCATTTGCAATAAGCATTCACATTATAAAGATTAAAAGAAGCATTTGTTAAAATTATATAAATCAACAAATTCTAGCAAATCTGTAATGATTAAATAAGAATTTGAATTAATTTTGTTGAAACAACAAATGAATTAAAAATACAGCAACTCTCGTTTGAATTAAATTCATACAAATTGAAAAGTATACTATCAGATATTAATGATTTGATAGAAAAGATTTCATTAAATGGATTAGAAAATAATAAATTAATCATTGCAATTGAAGAAGTACAGTTGTTCGTTCCACTACAAATTTATTAATTATTATAATATATCTTTTATTATTAATTCGATATTAATAATAAAAAAAAAAGATTTGATAGCATCAAAGAATATTCATTAAATGCAACCAATCTTTCCTTTTTTTTTTCTTTGAAATTAGAAAAATAAATATAATTAATCATTGCTAATTGAAGAAGTACAGTTGTTCGTTCCACTACAAATTTATTAATTATTATAATATATCTTTTCTTATTAATTTGATATTAATAATAAAAAAAAAAGATTTGATAGCATCAAAGAATATTCATTAAATGCAACCAATAAATTAGAAAAATAAATATAATTAATCATTGCTAATTGAAGAAGTACAGTTGTTCGTTCCACTACAAATTTATTAATTATTATAATATATCTTTTATTATTAATTCGATATTAATAATTTTGATAGCAAAAGAATATTCATTAAATGCAACCAATCTTTCCTTTTTTTTTCTTTGAAATTAGAAAAATAAATATAATTAATCATTGCTAATTGAAGAAGTACAGTTGTTCGTTCCACTACAAATTTATTAATTATTATAATATATCTTTTATTATTAATTCGATATGATTTGATAGCATCAAAGAATATTCATTAAATGCAACCAATCTTTCCTTTTTTTTTCTTTGAAATTAGAAAAATAAATATAATTAATCATTGCTAATTGAAGAAGTACAGTTGTTCGTTCCACTACAAATTTATTAATTATTATAATATATCTTTTCTTATTAATTTGATATTAATAATAAAAAAAAAAGATTTGATAGCATTAAAGAATATTCATTAAATGCAACAAATCTTTCCTTTTTTTTTCTTTGAAATTAGAAAAATAAATATAATTAATCATTGCTAATTGAAGAAGTACAGTTGTTCGTTCCACTACAAATTTATTAATTATTATAATATATCTTTTCTTATTAATTTGATATTAATAATAAAAAAAAAAGATTTGATAGCATTAAAGAATATTCATTAAATGCAACAAATCTTTCCTTTTTTTTTCTTTGAAATTAGAAAAATAAATATAATTAATCATTGCTAATTGAAGAAGTACAGTTGTTCGTTCCACTACAAATTTATTAATTATTATAATATATCTTTTCTTATTAATTTGATATTAATAATAAAAAAAAAAGATTTGATAGCATTAAAGAATATTCATTAAATGCAACAAATCTTTCCTTTTTTTTTTTTTTTTGAAATTAGAAAAATAAATATAATTAATCAAAAAATACAACAAATAATATAAATATTTAAGGATAAAAAAATTTTTTTTTAGAAAACAAAAATTAAAAATGTAAAAAGAAAGTAACCAATAAATTCGATTTATTCCATTAAGTTATGATATTTATAAGTTTTACAATTATAAAGATTGTTCCTTCACTTTTTCTTTCACTCTCTTTCTCTCTCTCACCCTCTCTTTCTCCCTTTATTTCGTTAAAAATGAACGAATTGAAATTAACTATGAAAATTTTAATTATAATTAATTTACCAGCTGAAAAACGTTCCTCCCATTGTTCACTGATAAATTGTGTATTAACAACTTTCCAAAACATTTCTTCACCACTTGGTAATGTTATACAATGCATAATTAATGGAATTACTAATTCAGCTAACTAAAATTCATTCATTTATTATTATTACTAAAAATTTAAATGAAAAAATTCAAAAAAAAAATTCAATTTATAAAAATTTAATTTTTTTATATGAAATAATTACATTTATTGTGTGTGTAAATTCAACTAACTATTTCCATTTTTTTTCCATTCCTATATCACATATAAAAATATTTCAATAAATTCATTTGATTTCATTAGGTGAATTTAAAATATTCTAATAAATTTAGCAAATTTAATTTTAAAAAAGCATAAATTTAAGAAAAAAAAAAGGCATTTTAGTGGCAAATAATTTTTTAATTTTTTCTTTATTTTTCTTTATTTTTCTTTTTAAAAAAAAAAAAAATTATTTATATACCTGTGAACGATCTGAACGAAGTAATGTCCATAACTTTGGTATGAGTAAATTTTCTTGTGCCCAAATTAAATAACCTCGATGTTCACGACGAGCATTTAATAATGATTCACAATGAAGACATATAAATTTCACTGTTCTAAGCATATAGTAATGAGCATCTGCTTCAGGTTCTATTTCCAAATTCTATAAAATAAACAAATTTGTTGTTCATTTCAAATTTTAAAATTAATTTCAAAATGCATCATTCTATTATTTATTTATATTATCATTTATTAGCCATTTATATATTATTTATTTTCATTTATCACCCTTATTGTTATTTGCCTTAAACTATATCATTTGTGCTATCATTCGTTATCACTTATCATTTGCATTATCACTTTATTGTCATCTATCATTTGTATTATTACAGTATGAATAAAATTGAAATAATTAAAAAAGTAATCAGTTGCATAATAATCTGCTCAAATTAAGCAAAAAAAAAAAAATCTAAACAAAATATATAACAAAAAATATAAAATGTTATCAGTTATCACTTATCATTTTTGCTAACATTACTTGTTAATCATTTGTCATTTATACTGTAATTTATGCTAATTATATGACATTATAAACTAATAATGAATTAATTTATAGAAAATATGAAAGAGTTTTTATTTTGAATGAATAAATTAAATGAATGACAATTTTTTGTGTATTTGTCGATTAATTTTGAAAAATATTTTTATGCTAAACATTTTCCACTTTTAAAATTTTAATCTTAACCGTTAAAATAGAATGAATAAGGCAAAGTTGAGATGGTAAATCAGAAAGCGCAAAGCGGAAACGTCCAACTGAAGTATTCCAAAATTTTGTTGTTTCCTTTTCCACTGCATTTTCCACTGGTGTTCCTTTAATATCATCAACTAATGATGACGTTACAATATGACATGTTTCACGTCCTACGTCTGTTTCCGTTAATGTTGTTGCGTGTGCCACAGCTGTTTCCACCTGATAAAAATAATAAACAATTATTTTATGACCAATTGAAATATTTATATTTATAATCATTTAATCACTTAACAAGCAATAATCATAATAATTTAATGTTTTTTAAAAAAAAAAAAAAGCTCAAAGATTTTTTTACGTAAAAAAAGTGACGTGAAATATTTTTTACGCAAAATTCTAGTATTAAAAATACGAAATAAATACAAGATAAAATACGCAAAACTAGAAGACTAGAAGTGATTCAATTATCAATTGGTTTATTTCAAAAATAATGTAATGAATGAATGAGTTACTAAAGCACAAACATAGCAATTTGATTACTTTTAAAATTTAACTCTTTTGTCAAAAACGATGACAGAAGAGAAGTGAAAAAGCAATAAAATAATTTAGTTAGCAAAATACCTCTTCACTAGGTAATAAACCAACAAATTCGATGCTTGTTTCATGAATGGTAGCTGTTTGAAATTGAAGTTCAGCTGTATGTGTTGTTGCTGATTTTTGAATAAATGATAATGATGATATTGGTGATAAGATATTTGGTAATGGTACAGTCATTGATGAATTAGATTTATCAACTGGTGATTGTTTTGGTGATGCATTGGTAATTTGTGTTTTCCAATCAATTGTTGGCTAAAAATTGAAATAATATTAGCAATGAAAAAAAGAAAGAAAGAAAATTTTTTTTTTTTTTTCAAATGTAATCTTCAAATAATTATATTAACAAAAATAATTATATTGAAAATGAAATAATAATATATAAAAACCTCATCATTATTAACTGATATACAAAGTTGCTCTTTTGGTGATAAACGTTCCATAATTTTAGCAACAATTTGATAAACAAACACAGATTGTTGACATGCTGAACAATCAAGAAATTCATCTAATTCTGGATTATCACAGTTATGTTTGCAATGCGCAAATGGTTTTTGCAATATTATTGCACAGGTGGAAAAGATTAATTCAGAAATTAGATTTACTTCATGATGCAATTGATCGTTTAATGATATCTGCAATAATTAATGTGGTAAATAAATGAGAATGAAATTTGAATGATTTAAATTAATCATTCAATTTAATTTCAAAGTTTATTAAATAAAAATTAAAATTTAAAAAAAAAAACGAAAATTAAAGAAATACTAATATCGCTAGTATTAGTGTTAAATAAATTTGAGAAAGTGAAAAAAAATGCAAGCAATAAATTAATATAATCAAAAATGTTAGCATTTTAAGTAAGATTTGATAATAATTCCTCTGAATTGAAATATTTTTTTTTAATGAATCAAAAAAAAAAATTCCAACGCTATCATAATTCATTCATTATCATAATTCAATCATTATTATCATCATCATTATCATTCATCACCATCACCATCACCGTCATCACATTATTATTTGTTATTATTGCTGTTATTATTTATTATTATTATTATTGTTATTATTATTGTTATTATTATTATCATTATTATTATTATTATTATTATTATTATTATTATTATTATTATTATTATCAGTGTTAAATAATTTTATTTCAATTCAATCATTATTATTATCATCATCATCACCATCATCGTCATCATATTATTATTATTTGTTATTATTACTGTTATTATTATTATTATTATTATTATTATCAACGTTAAATAATTTTATTTCAATTCAATCATTATTATTATCATCATCATTATTATCATCATCATCATCATATCATCATCATCATCACCATCACCGTCATCACATTATTATTATTTGTTATTATTGCTGTTATTATTTATTATTATTATTATTATTATTATTTTATTATTATTATTATTATTATATCATTATTATTATTCCTTATTATTATTTCTTTTAATTAATTTTATTTCAATTCAATCATTATTATTATCATCATCATCATCACTTGATTACCATCATGGTATTTTATTATTTTATTTGTTATTATTGACAGTTTTTATTCATTTTTTATTATTATTGAATATAAATGATATCAATAATTTTATTTGATATTTCAATTAAGAATTACTTGCTGAGAAATAATATCAACCATGGAAAAATGAAGTTATATTTGTTCCTCCTCTAAACCATTCTGATTATTTCGATTTAATTCTAATTTTGATAATCGTGAAGCAAATTTTGAAAATGCAATCAAGCGCATTTGAAATCATCTCCATCAATGATAAAGCCTTGATATAATCTATTTCTTATGGTTTTTAAATTTTTTAAATTATAATTTATAAAAAAAATTGGCTTATTATAAAAAAAAAAAAAATTTGTTTTTCAAGATATTTTTTTTTGTCATTTTTTGCAAAATTTCCTTTAAAAAATTGAATAAAATAAATGATATCAATAAATTTATTTCATTTTGATATTTCTATTAAATGCTTTATAAATTAAAAAAGAAAATAATTTTAAAATAGCCTCGAAAAATAAAAAAATTTTATAAAAAATAAAAAATTTATAAATTTATAAATAACTCTAATCTCTTCAAAATTTGAATAGAAAAGTTTTAATTGATTCCAAAAAATAAAAAAATTTAGCAATTAATTAATTAAAAAGTAAAAATCAGAAAAATCAATCAATAGATATTCAAATAAATTAATTTAGATCTCCTTTAGTTAATCAAATTATCAGTAATAACTGATAGTATTTTAAATTCATCATATGAATGGTAATGGACGTAGATCTGGTTCAAATATTTTGCTACAAAGAAAAAGCATTTAAAAAATAAATTTGCAAAATATTTTAAGGATAATATAGAAGATGAATGTTTATATCAAAAAGATATTTATTTTTATTAAATTAATTGTAGGAGGACAAAATAAATGCCCTAATTAATTAATTAATTAGTAACACTTAAGTAGTATTTTAAATTCAGAAAAATCATATCGAAAAGATATTCATTAATTAAATTAATTGTAGAAAAATAAAACAAACGCTTTAGTTAATTAATTAATTAATTAGTAATACCTGAGTAGTATTTTAAATTCAGAAAAATCATCATCTTCCATTAAATCACAAATACTTTGCATCCATTGTGGCATTAATCGATTCCACGTACTCAACGTGATAATATCATACGGCATTATTGCTAATAACTTATAAAGTCCATCACGCATTTGTTCTTTTTTTGTTGAAAGTCTATCCCAGACACCTCCAACCTGAATGGAAAAAAAAAATAATTCAAATTATTTAAATTATAAATGCATTGTATTATTTGGCAATAAATTGATTTTGAACAATTTTCTTCCACAAATATTTCCAATGTAACAAAATATTTAACTAATATTACCATTCAACATTTTAAAATTTTAATAACTCTATTATTTAAGTTAAATATCAATTACTTTAATTTTGATTTACAAAAAATCTTAATTTAATAAAAAAAAACCCTAATTTTCAATTAAAAAAAAGAAAATACTATCCTTAATTTGTAATTAAAATACAATTTGTAGAAGAGAATCACCTGAGCATATTCCGGTGGATTTGGCATTAAAGTTTCAACAAAATTCTCATAATGATTCATAATTGCCAAATTAATCCAATCTAATACAAACTGCAAAATACATATTTAATTTAAAATATTAAATATAAAATAAAAAAAGGAAAAAAGAGAGAAATCACTTATTTATGCAATCATCAATTATTTATTTTCATTTTTAATATAAATAAAAAAAAAAGGAAAATTCGATCATTAATTTATTTCAAGCAAATAATTAATTTTTTTCTTATTAAATTATTTCGTTTATTATGCATTTATTGTTGTTTTTTTTTTTTTAATTTGAAAAAATATTTAATATTTTTATTACAAAATTTACAGTCTATTTATTTTCATATCATTTCATCAAAGTAATAATATATTTTTTTCCTATTTTCCCTTTAACATTATTAATAATTATTATTCATCCTTCACTCCCTCCTTCTCTCTATCTCTTCCCCTCTCTCTGTCCCTCTCTCTCTCTCTCTCCTTATCTTAAAGCTTGCAATTTTGTAAATATGAAATAGCAATATATTCACAAAACGATCAGTTATACATTGCATATGACATAAAATAAATATATTAATAACTTGAATTTGTTTTCTTTGTTTCTTTTGATTAGAAATTTATATCAGTTATCAGTGTGTTATCATGATAAGATTACGAGTAGTACTTGAATTAATGACATTGTTTGATTTTATTGATTTTCTTAATCAGTGCAAAATTTACTTTCTTTCAACTAATATCTTCATTTACTCGAAATCATATCATATCATTAAATAATTCAAATGATAAGGATTAATCAATTGAGTGATAAATGATAAAATAAAATTATCAGTGTAATTTACATCAGTTCTAAGTTGTTCTAATGCAGCACCAATAGAATCATTAGGTAATAGAGCAGTTGTTGCAAACCATTGCAATAACATTGACATCATATAAGCAATCGCTTGCTAAAACAAAAAACAAAAAATATTTCGATAAATTTTTTTTTTTTTAAATTTTTAAAAAAAAATTTTTTTTTATTAATTAATTCCTATTAATTTCATAATGAAAATTCATTCATTCGCATTGATTATTTTATGATTCAAAAATAAAAGTTTTGTTTTTTCATTTTTTACATTTGACAAATATTTCTTTAGAAATTTTTTACAATTCCTAAAAATTTTGAGTGAAATTTTGATTATTTAAATTTATTCATAGATTAAAAAATCATTTCAAGTTTGCTTAATATATTATATTTCATTTTATTTAATAAACATATTTAGCTTATTTATTACAAATATAACATGTATCATATCCAATTATAAAAGCAATAATTTTAAAATTCTAAAATAATTGATGAATAATTTAAATTTTAAATGAAAGATAGTACCGGTCTAGCTTCTGGTACAGGTGGACAGATTGTCGCAAGAAGCCAAATACCAAAACGACTTAATGCTCTTCGTTCATCGGCCATTTTATCAATGTCACGGCCAAGTGTATGACCACCTTCTAATTGTCGTAACCATTTCGGTCTTTTACCCTCAGTTTCCGATCCTTCAGTATTAAAAAAAAAAAAAGTTCATTTTTTAACCATTGGAAAAATTATTTTATATTAAAATATATTATATCAAAATTTATTGTACTATTTTTGTCTAACTTTTATAAATTTAATCATCTTTTTTAAATTAACAGCTATAATTAATGGCTTCTTTTAAAAAAAAAATTGTTGATCATAAATAATTTACTAATTAATTATGCTATTTTTATGAAGCAGAATGAAATATTGGATAGAGCAACTTTTTCTAAGTTGGCATTTAAATGTTAAATGTTATGCATGATGTATTATATAATTTAATTTAATTTCTAATTTTAATATAATGCAATTTCAAGTCATAATTTTAATATAATTTTAATTTATAAATTCAGTATGAAAGTTTGCAAATATTCAACATTCTAATATTATCTTGACAAAATTTGAAATTATTAAAAAGTGTAAAATTTAAAAAAAAAAAACAGTTCTAGAATTTACTACAATAGGAAAAAAAAAACCTTCTAAATTAGCAGAAGTTTCTTTTAAAAGTTTAACAATCGCTTCGACAATATCTCTTTCAAGTTCTGTCCCCCAAGCACATTTCATACTACGATGATTAATATGTTCCTTACAATTAACACTATGTAATGCATCAAGACATTCCTAAATTAAATTTATAAAATTCAATTCAAAATTTTACAAAATATTATTGATTTTTAATTATCTATAATTATAACAATTTAAAAAATTCAATAATTCATATTAGAAATTTAAAGATTTGCATTTTTTTTTTCTTCACATTTCTTTTATCTATCAGCTTTTAAATTGAAAATTAAATTTGATAAATTTTTTAGACAATTTGACAAATATGATATATTTAGGCAAATCTGAAGAAAAAATAATGAGTAATCATTTTAAATTAATAGTTAAATTAATAATGAATAATTAAGTAATTATTTAACAACAATTTTACATAATCAAAAATTGCCTAATTAAACTAATTCTATTTGTTTATTTATTTAAGGTAAAAAAAAAAGAGATACCTGACAAAGTCGTAACGGAACATATTGATGTGATCGAATGCAATCTTCAGAAAAGCATATACCTATAGCTAATCGTTTTGATGATTCACAACCCTTTAAAAGTTATTATGATTATGATACATTGTAAGTAAAATTTTGATAAAATTATTACAAAACTTTAAATAATTACTAATTATTTTTTTTTTAAATAAACTTTTTTTTAAAAAAGTAAAATACCAAAGAAAGAAAGATAAAGATTATTAACTTTAGCCTAAAAGATCATTAATTATTTCAAAAAATTTAAAAAGCAAAAAAAAGGACAATTAAGCAAGTAAATAAATGGATAAAAATAGACAAAAAGTGATAAGATATTGTAAACATATAAATAGATAAATAAAAATAAATAAACAAAAAGTGATAAGATATTGTAAACAGATAAATAGACAAATAAAAATAAATGAACAAAAAGTGATAAGATATTGTAAACATATAAATAGATAAATAAAAATAAACAAACAAAAAGTGATAAGATATTGTAAACAGATAAATACATAAATAAAAATAAATAAACAAAAGTGATAAGATATTAATAGCTATAATAAAATATTAAAAGTGAAGAAAGAGATTTATCAGTTTACCTTATTTTGACAAACTACATTACTCGATGCTGATATTGGCATACAAATTGGTATCGTTGTTATCTTATCATCACTTTCTACCATTTCAGCACATTTTTTACACAGTGATATTGGCGGTGCTGTCTCACCGTATTTTATTGAAATTAATGGATCAAAGCAGCATCGTACACTAAAAAAAATTTTTTTAATTCAAAATGAAATTAAGAATTGAAAAAAAAAAACACCAAATATCATTTATTAATCGTAACAAATTTCTAATTTCTATAATTAATCAAATTTTAAAATAATATTTAAATTTCTTTGCTTATTCAATCAGTAATTTATTTTTATAATGGAAATAATACAGAAATTATGAATTAGAACAGAATATAATGGAATTATAAATAATAATAATAATCAGTTCAATGATTTTTTAATGAAATATTGATTAATTAGGAATAAATTTAATATTGCAAAAAATTAAATAAATTTATTATTTAAAATAATAATAATAGTAATAAAAAGAAATAAATGAAACATTTGAAATTATTTCGAGTATTTTTTTAATGAAATTATTCCAAGTATATTTTATATTTTACCTTGGCTCATTATCCACACATTTGGTATTTTGACATGGTATGCATGTCCATGCTGTAAAATATTTTATTTTAATTTTATGTAAAAAATACAAGAAAGTTTATAAACAATAAAAAGATTTCATTTAACAAAAAAAATTTTCCATCTAATTTCTTAATTGATCATTTGAAAATAGAAGGAAAAAAAAGTTTTTTTTTTCATTTTTAAAATTTTCATATAAAATTAAGCAAAGCCAATTTTTTGCTTTATTCCTTTTTAAATAATAAATTTAAAAAATTGAATTCTACCTTGAATACGATATTGAATTGATTTACGATGTAATATGTGTTTATTATGAATTGGCCAATAATGGAATAATAAATTTGCAGCAGCAATACGAGCTTCACTTGTACCTTTTGATAATACTAATATCATATCCTTTAAAATTAGCATTTATTTTTGTTAAAAATTTATTAATCATTTTATTTATTTAATTATTTACTTACTTAATTTTATTTATTTAATTCCTTATTCCTTACTTCATTTGTATTTATTGATAAAAGTCAAAATTAGCATTTATTTTTGTTAAAAATTTATTAATCATTTTATTTATTTAATTATTTACTTACTTAATTTTATTTATTTAATTCCTTATTCCTTACTTCATTTGTATTTATTGATAAAAGTCAAAATTAGCATTTATTTTTGTTAAAAATTTATTAATCATTTTATTTATTTAATTATTTACTTACTTAATTTTATTTATTTAATTCCTTATTCCTTACTTCACTTGTACTTCAATTAGCATTTATTTTTGTTAAAAATCTATCAATTCATTCCATTTCTCTGATTACTTATCTATTCAATCAGTCAGTAAACGAATTAATTTATTTGTTATTTGTTTATATATTTTATTTGCTAAGATATTTTGTTGTTTACATGTGATGCTTGAATTAATTAATCAATTATTTGAATATATTTTCTTGAGAAAATTTTACTTTTAACACTTTTTTTTTTTTTAGATAGAAAGTAAAATCCAAAATGTGAAACGTATAATTTAACTTTTATGAGAAATGTATACTAATATAAAATGTCAAATATTTGCATAAATCATTATGAAACAAAAAAAGAAAGACACAAGCAAATGTAATTTTTAAGTTAAAATAATAAATTAAACTAATAAAAAGATTAAAATGTTTTTTTTACCCTGTAAACATTTTCTTTTTGTGCCAAAAGATTTTCGATAAAAAGTGTATGAAGACCTGAAAATGAAAAATAAAAAATAATATTTAAAAATAATTTAAAAATAGTAAAAATATTCAAAATAAAAACTAAAACAACAAGAAAAACATATATAAACTTTGTGTGAGTTAATTTAAAACATTTTTAAAATATTTATATGAAAAAAAAAAAGCATTATGAAAATGTTATATTTCATTATTTTCTTCATTTTTTTTTTCTTTTAAAATATAATTCATCTGACAGTTTTTTTTCCTTTCATTTTTTTAATTTTTTAATCAAATTTTTAATTTAACTTCTTCCATCTTTATTTGTCTATCGTTTTTTTTTTCCTTCATCCATTTTATATTCATTTCATTTTGTCTTATCTTTTTTTTTTGTCTTTGAAAAACTACAAAAAAATTTTAATACTCCAAAATTTCATATATTTTTAGACAATAAATCAAAACAAGAGCTTTTCGACTATTTTTTTAAAAAAAAAAAAAGTTAAGGTTAATTTTAAATTTCAAAACGAAATTAACAATGAATAAGCATGTTTTTATTTATAATATTACTGTAACGAAAATTAAAATTGATTTATTAATAGAAATTATTTCTACTTAATGATTCTTTTCATTGATATATTTAAGTCTATGGTAGCTATTTATAGTAATAATATGTCATTGCTTTCTTATAATTTATTAAAAAATCTTTTTTTTTTCAAATTAGCAGAGAAAGCTATCTAAGCTAGTAAACATTCACTTCTATAATATACGTTTCCCATTTGTATAATTAAAATTTTTCCTTTCAAAAGTAGCAAAATAAAACTTAAAGATGATAATATCTTGATAATTTATAATTTTAGAATTGAATGAAAACAAAACATTGCCAATTTATAATATTGCATCATATATTTTAAATGTTAGAAGAAATTTGGAAAAATATTTTGGAAGTTTGGAAGAAATGTAAACTTAATTTTTATTATTATCATTAATTTTTCATTCTTTTATAATTTAGTTTGAATTTTCTTTTTTTTGGAATGAAAAATACAAATTAATAAGTGTATGTTTTACTAATTATAGTTGCATAAAATGTATTATTTCAATAAATTCAATTTCAAATAAATTTCAATAAAAATAAATTCAAATTTTAATCAATAAAATATTACACAGAAAATTTTCCTTTTTTTTTTCTTGCATAATTATTTGAAAAAATTGGTTTTTTTTTTTGTATTTGCTTCTTTAAAATATAATAATCTTGATAATTTCTAGTAAAAATAAAATAAATTAAATTAACTAAAATGCTGGTAACTTTTTCTTTTTTTCTCTCTTTCCAAGAATTAATAGTAATATTTTTCACAATTTTTTTTTTTCATTGTTCCAATTAAGTTTTCATGCATTAATGCATAATAAAATTAGTATTTTTCATTATGCAATCCATCCATTCATTCATTCATTCATTCATTCAGGCAAATCATTTCATCGTTTGTACCTTTTTTTTTTATTCTTTCTTTCTTTCTTTCTTTTAAAAGCATTGAAATATAATTGAATCACATATTCTTTCCGGGAATTCTTTCTAATGAATAACAAAATTGCTAGTTTCTACCAATTTATAACTATTCAATCGTATTTATAAATTAAATTGAACTGAAGTGTTGCTAACATCACAATCATTTTATAATTGTAAAAATTTATAAACAGAATTTATATGTTATTTTTGCTTTTGCAAATTTATCAATTTAATAATAGTGAATTGATAACAACAAGTTTTATAATCAATTCAATTATAGTAGCAGTTGTTGATTGATAATTGATCAAAATAATAATGATAACGATATAGTTATCAGTATTTGTCTGAGGAAAAGGAAAAAAAAAACAACTTGATAAGTTGAAAGTCTTACTGAAATCGGTCGAATGCTGAAGTATCATCATTAGAACAGCTGGCACTGAAAAGCATTCCTGTTTTGGTATCAGAATAAATGGAATGAAACAGGTGCTTATCAGATGCACAAGTTTTTTATCAAGTTCAGCAGGTAAAATACCAAGTTGAGAAGCTAATAAAAATGGTAATTGTTCGAGAATATCACGTTGTAGAAAGAAATACAAAGCTTTCATTGTATCAAGAATTGCATCACCAATAGCTAAAATTTATCCTTTTTTTTAAAAAAAAATATAAATTTTATGATAATAATAAATCAGTTTATTACTTCTGTTTTTTTTGCATTTTCTTTTTTTTTTTTTGTCTAAGAATTGATCAAAAAGATCAAATAATTGATAATTTGGGAAATTATCAGTTATTTACTTTTATTTTTTGATATAATAAAGATTATTACCAAGATGTGAGGATGAAATTTGTTGAAAAACATCTAATAAATTAATTATTCCATAATAAAGTCCGGAATAATTCAAATTTGGATATAATGTTACTCGATTCAATGTGGGACAATAACGCTCGAAGGCGCTTGTTGGTACTGGTGGCATTTCTTTCAGAAATCTATAATATATGCATAATTTTATTGGTATATAAAATTCAAAAAATTTAAAATGAAAATCAAAATGTTGTATGTTGCAATTTATCATCTTTTCAAATATATTCAATCATTTCCTAATTTATTTCTTCCTCTTCTTCCATCTTTTTTTCAAAAAAAAAAAAAATTTTTTTAAATGCAAATGTAACATCAATATTGTGTACTTTAACTGTTTTTTTTTTTCGGAATTTTTAGCATGCAAAAATTTTCAGACATACTTGAAAATAGCAATCATGAAAAAGATGAAAAATTACACCATCTGAGCTTATTAGGATAATCCGGAAATAATAAATGCAATCGGATGGAAGTAAATTATTACTGATGTAAATTTCAAATAATCCTTTAATTATTGCACTTAAAATCAACTAGTAATTTCTTATAATAATTTAAAAATTTAATCAACAATGCTATTTTAATTTTGCTTCATTCATAAATGAATTTTTCGAATTTCGAGGACAAATGTATATTTTACTTATGTGAATGTTAAAATTTCAAAAATTAGTAAGTAAATGAATTGAAGACAATTTTTTATCATTAAACATTTAACACTGATATTGTTTATCATTTCATTATCATTAAAATTATTCTACTACATTAATTATAATTCACAAATTTTTTTTTTTTTTTTGTTGTCAATTTTCATATTTATTATTCATTTAATTATACCATTCGTACTTTTATTTCAATCATTTCCTCAAGAATATAAAATCAATAAGAATGATTCATCAATGAATGATATCACTTAATGTCACACCAAAATGACTGTCACATATATTACAATGATTAAAGCTTATTGGAAAATTTTAATATTAATAACTATCATTTATCAACAATTTATTTATAAAGTAAATGCAAATGCAAAGCAAAAAGAAAAGCCTAAAATGCTATATGTATACAAATAAATCTTAGCGCAAAAAAAATTGCTCAAAATATAAATTATCTTTTTTGTTTCTTTAAGAAAAAAAAGAAAAACGGAAAATTTTGAAATTAACTAAGACTTATATGTAATGTATTTTTAAAATAAGAATTTTTTTTTTTTCTTAAACTGAAAATTTTTTCAAAAATCAACCTATAACATGCAAATTGCAATATTTGATAAATTTAAGAAAAGAAAAGTTAAAAAAATGAAAACAAAATAAATATATAAATAAGCAAATGAATAAATAAACAGAAAAGAGCTAAAATATTTTAGAGAAATGAATAACACTTTGTCTATTTTTAAATTGAATTTTTAAATATTTAATGCTTCACTTCATAATATTCCTGATGATTTACTTTTTGTTTTTTATTTTTTGATGTAAAAAGTATTAGTCTATTAGATTATAAAGTATTTAGTATTTTATTAAAGCTTAATTTTTTTGCAAAAATCATTGAAATATTTATTACCACTGACTAATACTAAATCTGTCAACATTCATTAACAAATTATTATACTATTTATCAAATAATAAATTGTGGAAAATAATTAGAGAAGAAGTGAGAAATTTTACAAATCAAAATTAAATTTAAAATTGAACAAAACATTCGTAACTGTCATTTTATTTTAAAATAATCATCAAAAAATAAATCACTATTATACATTTTATTATCAAATGATTAATCAATTGCTGCTTATTTTGCATTTATTTTAATTCTATAAGAATAATATCAGATAAAAAGCACTGAGTGATTTATTTATTAATTTATTTTTGAATTTCTTCAAATACATATATCAATAATTTTATGCAGCAAAAAGCAAAAAGAAGAAAATTTTTATACTAAAGAAAAAAAAATGCTTATTTGTTCAATTTGTAAATTATATTAGCTTTCATAATTGATATTTTGCTTAAATGAAGAAATATATTTAGCTTATTTAAAATTTGATAAATTTGATCTATGACTTTTATATTAATTTGATAAGATAAAAGTAGTAAATGATAAGCTTATATTGGATCGAAATATTGATAATAGAAAAAATAAAAATTTCTAGATATTATTTCAGTTTCTAACATTGCTCATTTCGCTATCAATTTTACTTGAAATAAGAGATTTAGTTAGCTCTTATGTAAGCTCTAAGATGTAGGAATCAAATTCCATCAAATTTCCAGAATTTCAGGATTTTAGTTCAAATTCCACATTTAGCTCATTTTTCATCACAAATTACACTTCTGATAGTGAAATTTCACAATGAAAAATCTAGCAAAATCATACAAAACTAAAATTTTATTCTCTCTTCTCTTTTAATTAATCGTTAATTACAATTTTTTTTTCCTTTTTTTTTTTAAATCCTTTTTCCTCTTTTTTTTTTTTTTAAAAAAATATGACAAATAGGAATGTGATGAAATGAATAAAATGTTAATTATATTTTGTAGCAAAAATAAAAAAAGGTATAAAAATAAATGGAATAATTAAAAATGTTAATAGCAAACTGAAATGATTGAAAGCCAATAAATTTAATACCAATACTTAATGAAATTGAGAACAAAAAAGGCTTAATGAAAATGAAAAAAAAAAAAAAAAATTGTCTATTATATTTTTCAAATGAAAGTAAAAATAAAAATGAAATAATCACAATAATATATAAAAAATTATTAACAATTCACACGATTTAAATAGATTAATTATGTTAAAATTGAAGTATAAAATTTTAAAATCAATTATAAAATCAAAAAAAAAAACAATAATAATAATAAAATAAATAAGAAAAAGAAAACTAAAATATAGAATAATTCTATGATAAATGATATCTCATAATATTATATCAAATATATTGATAAAAAAAAAAGAAAGAAAAAATGTTAATTATTTATTAATCATGAAAATATCAATAATTGTAAGAATGAGAAATTATAACAGAAAATGTTAGATAGGAAAAATGAAATGCTAAATTGCTAGCATTATTAATATATTCTCAGAATTAATCATTCAAATTAAAAAAAAAAAAGAAAAGAAAAAAAGTTGAAATCATTATGAAATGGCTTAGAGAAAAGAAATTATAAAGTTAAAATGAATTTATTAATATTATTTTTGAAATACAATTTAAAAAGATTTAATTTAACTAACCCAATCAATGTTTGTTGAAAATATCGCAATGTTGTTAAAATTTCAGCAGCACTTGGTGGTTGTTGATTGCATGCTATACGACTATGAAATTCACTTAAGGTACGAATTTTTGCCGAAACTGAAAATAAAAAAAAATTAAGTTTTTTATTCTTTTTTTTTAAAAAAAAAATTTTCAATTATTTAATGATTTAAATGATTTAAGGCAATTTAAATTACTTAAATGAATATATGCAATCATTTACTTCATTAATAACGATTTTTCTTTTTTTTTTTTTGATAAAAACTTATTTATAAGCAAAATGAAATTAAGAAAAGCAAAAAGAGAAAGAGAGAGAGAGAGAGGGAGAGAGAGGGAAAGAGAAGGTAAGGAAGAGAGCAAAGAATAACTTCGAAATGATTTAGAATTGTAAAATAATTGAAATTGCTACTAAAGAGACAAATTCAAAGTTTTGCTTTACCATTTTACTATGTTTCATTTTTTTGTATTATTCTTTATTTCAATTAAAAAAAAAAAAAAAAAAAATTTCTGCAACAATCTTCTACGATATGATAAAATTTCAAATTTTTACAATTAATAAGTAAATTAGTAAAATTTTAGTTTTATTATTGATAATATTAAAAATTATCCATATGCATAATATTAACAATTTTTAGTGATTTTTATAAACTGAAATTATCAAATTTGGAACATTTTATTAAAACAAATGCAAATTTTTTATATTTGCATTTGTTTTTTTCAGCAAAATTTTTTGCAAATTTAATTGTCAATTGTAAACCGTAGGAATATGCAATATTCTAAATCAAAAATCAAAAAATACAATTTGTACTAATTAGCAATACTTTCATTGCAATCAATATTTCTGAGCCATTAAATTAATTTCTTCTTCCATAAAATAATTTCATTATATTTGTAATTATACAATGAATAAATTAAAATTCAAAATATATATCAAATTAAAATATATCAAAATTCAATAAATTATATCACTGAAATAAAAAAAAATAATAATATAATGGAATTATCTATTTTTAAAATCTCTTTCACATTAATAAAATTAAATTAAAAAAGTGGAAAAAAAAAAGAAATTTCGTTTACTAATAACATCTATATATATTTTTCCATTATAAACTTTAACATATTTAAAAAAACTTTAACATAAAGCCATAACATATTTTCATTATAAGTAAACTTAACATATTTATTAGTACTATAAATGAAATCAATTATTTATTCTTCTATTTATTTCATTTTTTTTTTTGAATAACAATGAGAAATAGTACTGTTATAAGAAATAAATTTTAATAACTAACAGGTGTAGTATTTCAACAGGTAAGCCATGATGAATTAATTGATAATGAAGAATAACGGAATGAAATGATCCGTTAAATTTACTACTCACTTGTATCCGATTAGATTTTATTCCGTTTAAATTTAATTTAAACTGTTAGTTTATAAGGGATCATCAGATTCATTCTTTTATAGCAAACAGGCGGAGCTCTCAGTCATAACCACGCCTTCATCCATACACATCCTACATTGGCTATTTCCTTCTTATTTTATACATTTATTCATCTGTCTACCTGTTTATCTATTTATTTAGTTTATTTACTTATTTACCTACCTATTCATTCACTTATTTTTTACCTATTTGTTTATGTTACTTTTGCTTATTTATTTGTTTACTTATCTATTTTATTCACTTATCTATTATTCCCCTACCCATTTATCTCTTCATCTGTTTATTTGTCTATTTGTTTATTTATTTACCTCTCTATTCATTCATTTATTGTTTCCGTATTTATTTGTCTATTTATTCTCATACCTGTTTATTTCTTCTACTCATTTATTTTAGTTATCTATTTATTTACCTATTTACTCATCCATCTATTCGTTCAGTTATTTTTTACCTATTTACTTACCCATCTATTCGTTCACTTATTTTTTACCTATTTACTTACCCATCTATTCATTCATTTATTTTTTACCTATTTACTTATTTATTCGCCTTCATTGGTCTATTTACTTCTTTACTTATCTATCTATTTTATTCACTTATATATTACCCCTCTATCCATTTATCTCTCCATCTGTTTATTTATTTGTTTACTTAGCAGTTTATTTATTTACCCATCTATTCACTCATTTTTTGGCCATTTATTTACCTGCCTTTATTTGTCTATTTATTTGGTGCTTGTTTATTTTTCTACCTATTTATTCATCAATTTATTTTATCTATTCAATTATCCATTCACCTATTTATTTATTTACCCACTCGCTTTTGCTTGTTTATTCACTTATTTATCTATTTGGTTATTTATTTACCAGTCTAATTATTTCTTTATTTGTTTATGTTTGTCTATTTACTTATCTATTTCACTTTTATTTATCTATTTATTTCTCCATTTATCTGTTTATCTATTCAATCTAATCTAATTTATCGAAATAGTTTCTTTATACTTATCTAATATAACCTAATATAATTTTGTAAAATGAAATTGCTATCGAAAAAACAATCGATTCTAATGATATATTGCTGCATACTTGTTTATATCCATTAAATTACTTCCTTTTATCCACTCCTCTATTTACTCCCTTCCGAGAATTTCCCGCTTTTTCCTAACAAAAATAATTAAACTGATAATTTTCTCATCCTTTTTATGCAATAATATAAGCAATCAATTATAAAGCTAAATGACTTTTTTCTTTTCATCTTCTCATCAATACTCCACTATTATCATTACTATCAACAACAACAACAACAACAACAACAACAACAACAATAATAATAACAATAACAACAATAATAATAATAATAACAATAACAACAATAATAACAATAATGATAACAGCAATAACAACAACAACAACATCGTTCTCTTTAATAAGTTATAACCCTCTCATTATCTCTTCTCACATTAAATTCTATTCAAATTAAAAATATATAGTAAAAAAAAAAAATGAAAAGTTAAAGTAACAAAATAAAAATAAACAAACATGTGGCAGATCGTGTCATCATATTGTTGATTGAAGATTATCGCATGCAATCACAATAACTGCTACAGCTTATCATAAAATGATAAACTTTATTACAATCCATAGCTAATCGCTATATTCGAATATCGAATGAAGTAATAACCGCAACGCATGCATTCTTCTTAGATTGATTGAGCGTAAGCTTAGATACTTCATGTGTTAGGCCTTATGATACTTTAAAAATCATTCATTTCACACAGACATCAGACACAAACATACACATACATACATACATACACACACATACATACATGCAAGCAAGCAAGTAATACATATTATTGACAGCTTTATATAGACTAATCGATATGAGAGATTTCTTTTTGAATTGATTAATCCATAGACTTTAAGTATAACAGCTAATTGCATTCAAATGCTGTATCATTAAAAATTGATGAAAAATTAAAATATTTCTTAGCTAATATGAACAACTAACTAATTGATTAACTGAAATAAATTAATAATCTTAGTGCAATACATTTCACACATGTAACACTTATCTTAGTTACAAATATCATTTAAGAATCGTTTAATACGATTTAAAGTTTTAATATCTCTAATATTAACTATCATTTGTCCTAGACGATAAAAATCCAAAAATGACATTGAAGCATATAAAACTCGTGCAATAGGCTTTAGACAATCACTTAATTTATCATTAAAAAGAGTTTCACTTGCTGGATAATTAATTAATTCCCGAAAAAACCTAAGGAACATTTCACCATATGCAAATGGAAATAGATCATAAGAATCAGTAAAATTTACGGCTGGCAAATAATGAAGCAAATGAAATTGGCCATTGATAATAGCTATCAGAATAGTTTGTCTAAGACAAAATGATAGATCGTACATTGGACCTTCAAAAAAATTTCCAACTAATTCTTCCTGATAATTAATATTATTTAGAGTATTATTTCGTAAACCAATCCAAGCACATACTGCAGCTGGCCAACCATATTGTGCTGCGCTCAGAATACTTTTATTTCGAAGTTCATAAAATTCAGTAGGATGAGACATCAAACGTGCTGTATTTCTTATCAGTTCATAAAACGAATTCAATATTTTGTGTTGCTCTGAATAAAACAATCGTTCCCATAATGCCTATAATTAGATATACTGATATTTATCAATAAATTATTAGAAAATGACTGAAGTATTTTTTTTTTTTTTTTATTTTCAGGAAGTTAATTTGTATGCTTTTTAATATTAATCTATTGTTATCAAATATATTTCATAAAAAACAAAACGAAAAACTAATCAAATTATTAGACTATGACTATTTAAATATTTATTTAAATTTACTTGAATATTACAATCAACATTCAATCATTTCCTTACAAATATCATCTAAGTATTACAATATGCGAATGTAGCAATGCTCTTTTTAAAAATTATTCTTGGAAAGTCACAATTTCGAACATCTCACGGAAGGTAAATAAAAAAAAAAAAACCAGTAATATGTCATCAATTTTCACTTTAATTTCAATAAAATGTAAGACCTAATTATGCAAAATCCAAACATTTTGAAGTGTCTGCTCTTTCATAAAATTTAAAAAAAAAAATAGCAGCAAAAAAATATAGGTGTCACAAGAGATTGAATTTATATAGGATTTGCATTTTGGGAAAAAGAAAAATAATACAATTTCGTGACTTATGCTAATTTTAAATTTAAAAAAAAATCTTTAATTCCACAATACCTTTGCCCATCACCGGTAGATGCAATAAAAACACTCCATGCAATGTTAATCAAGAAATGATTGATTTAAATTGCAAAAATTTTTTGGTAACAAACAAATCTTATTAAAAATTATATTCTGATTGACCCAATTATTCCCAATTTTAGAAATTATATTCTAATTGATCTAATTATTCCCAGTTTTAGTATAAGAATGTACATAATGCGGCAATTAAAATAGCATATAAAGTTGGAAATAATACGAAGCATTTGGAAAAAATGAAAAAAAAAGAGAAAAAAAGTGATAATATCTATAATATGATCTATTCATGCTAAATAGATTTTATATCAACAATTGTTGTCTTAATTCAACAGAATTTCATACTAAAACATTTTAAATTCAGCAATTTAGCTTTTTTTTTGTAGATAATCACGCCAAGTGCATAATTAAATAATGCCAAAATATGGGAGAGAGGAAAGAGAGAGAAAGAGAATTAAAAAAAAAAACCAAATGTTTCATAAAAGCTAAATTATTTGACATAAGTTAATTCATGTTATTATTTTGTTATTATTACTAAGTTATAAGTTATTATATGTTATTATTACTAAGTTATAAGCTAAGTTATATGAACATTAATTTATATTATTAGTTAATTTATATTATATAATAGTAAATGATAAATATAGTTTTATTTAATTACTTTTTACTAATTATTAAGATTAAAGTAATTCATCAGGACAAAAGTTTTAACCTACCAACAAGAGTATAATTTCAGAACTTATTTAAAATTCACAATATTTCAAAATGTCGCCTTACATTCTTTAAACGTCTAAACACCCGTTTATTCACTAAGTTTACCAAAATTTTCTTTTTCTTTTTTCAACAAGAGTAAATTTATATCAATCATATCAGATAGGAATTTGATTAACATATAGTAGTAAATGACAAATATATTTGACAAAGATATTTTTGGGAAGTCGAAACAGACAAAATAATTGAAAACGTAAAATGCTATTGACATAGTTTACATATCAAATCAGCTTATCACCATTAAGTAAAACTGAAAATAATGATGTTTGACGATAATTTTAAATCCAAATCTTTAAATGTTACACTTACCTTGGTAGCAATTCCATTCATTGCCGCAAATATGAAAAAATGGTCCGGCAGCATTTCACGATAACATTTTGCGTATGTCTTACGCCAGTCCAAATTACCATCATTCCCGACAGCGATCCAGGAAAGGTCAAATGTAATATCTTCCTGATGCATTTTTCCGATAATGCTCATCTCATATTTCAAACTTTCAATTTTTTGAAACAACAACTCCGGCAAAGTACTAAATTCTTCTTCATTTAATGCAAAATATCGCATGCACGTGGCAAAAAGAGTAGCAGGTTCGTTATAATCACTGCAATACCACGGTTTCGTCGACTCTTCAACTCTCCAACAACCCAGTTTTTGACAATGCTTGCAAATCAAAGCATCCATGACTCTCTAATAACAAATCATATTTTTAAAAAACGAAGAAATTCATGTTATGCAATGAACGAGAACAAAGAAAGAGAAAAGATAGCAAAAATTTTCATTAAAGAGGTAAAATTTTCAAAACATAAATCATACGTTCATAAGCTGAATCTCAGAAAATCATTTTCTTAAATCTATCAGTAAATAACAAAAACTAATTTTATGCCTATATTATTCAGTGATTCAAAAATGGAACACATAAAATGAAAGAAAAAAAAAAAAAAACATAACACGTAGGGATGCAACCACAATCAAAAAGCTTTGCGGCAAAAAGAAAATAAAATTTATTTTTAGAAATGCCACATAATAGTATGATAATGAAGAGAAAACAACATACAGAAAAAGATGAGAAATTTGTATCCAAGACCATGAAAATGATATCAAAATATTATCTCTGAAACATCTTAAATAACAATGAACACTTGATTTTGTTTAAATGAGAAGTTAGTTATAATTTCTTATGAATATATGTAATCATTAAATTAATATCTCTTACATTGCAACGTTTCTTTTTCAATCATGTCGATAGTGAATAAAGTTAAAACAGCGAACAGTAGCATGTAAAAAGAAACAAGAGCAACTAAGATCATGAATAACAACTATGGCCATCGAAAAAGAAATGATTATTAAAAATTTCGATAAAACTAGCAAGAAATCTGCCACCAGAACAGCAATACCATCAATCCACCTGTAATCAGTCATCAGTACTCGGTAATTAATTTGAATTCATCAAAAGAAAGGAACATTTAACGAAAGCATTATATTCCATGTTTCCCAATCGCAACTCGAATTAACAAAAAAAAATTCGGTATAAAATGTTCACATAGTGTAGTAACAATGACTCAACAACAACCAGGAACGAATAACATTTAACTAATTTAATCGCACTATTTTATTATCAATACGTAAACCTAAGGAACATAACTTCGCATTAAAAATCGTTTCAGGATTTTCATCACTTCCATTAGATTGACCACTTGCTAAATAACTTTGGATAACTTTAGTCTTCAATCGCTTTATTTTCATTTGTCCATTATCTGCTTCTTTTAATGCTCGTTTAATTGCGCGTTTCCACTTGAATTTTTTCACATCATCTGTTATCAAAGTCCCCTATAATCATCACTTCTAACTTCGCGATCATGGCATTTTGCCCATTTCAAATTAAATGATAAATTTGCGTAAACAAAAAAAAAAAAAAAATTAGGAAAAACACGTCTTGTGATAAACAAATAATCCGAAATGCTGCATACCTGCTTGACATTATTATTATTATCATGTTCATACACACTATTTTTCTTCAATTCCCTTTTCTCAGTTTCGACTTCCTCCACTTTCTCACCATTACTTTTTGAAGCTCCCTGTTTACAATTAAGTCCTTTATCATCATTCAGATCATCGCCACCTTCACCATTTCTTCTCAGTTCTCCTTTCTCAGTAGCCGCTTGTTGTATCTTTCCAGCTTGCTCACTTATACAGTTCCATGCCTATATTATTATATTTATAAAAAAATGGAGGAACTTTTGAACTGTGAAACTGTGTCATATTTAGCGTTCAAATGCTTTACCTTAATACATAAATCTCGGTTCCGGACTCTAATAGAATTTTGTAAGAAATTTATGAACTTCGCTTCTTTTCTTGGTATATTGTTGAAACCATGAATCTGTTGCAGAAGATCTTTCAATCCCTTATCAGTTACTTTTTCTATCGCTCGTTCTACTTGTTCAATCCACCGATTCTGTTTTGCTTCACCCTATAACTTATTTGAATAGATCAAACCAATATTTCAAATGCTTTTACAACTATGAAACATTACTGAAATCTTATTAGAAAACTTACTTTATTTTCTTTTTCAACATAATTTTTTCCACCATATTTCTTATTCTCTGTCACACATTTGATGTGGTTCTTATAGGTTCCTATAGAAAAAGCTTGACCACAATCCAAACAGGAGTAAGTTGTATCTCTGAAATGTTTCTCTAGAAAACAAGTTCTAAGCCTAAATCTAGTTATTACTGGTAAAGGTAAAATTATTACCATTCAAACACAATTACCATTCGAACGATTATGAATGTGGATTATGTGTTACTGTTGACCCTTAAGAAACTTCTCTTAGAATTCTCACAGACCACCCAGCATAAAGATATTTGTCATACGCATGCCCTTTCAAGAAATAAGTATTTACCGATTACAATTGAAGTACAGCTAAACTTTTTTGAACCACTTAAGTCTGAGAATAATAGAAGCATCTAATAATTTTAAATAATCAATGATAAAGTTGTACTTGGGAACACATTAGTTCTTGTAAACATTCCATATGAATGCAATTTTGTAAGAATTTTGTATTTCCAAATACAACTTCATTAATATAACTGTAAATGTTCCCATAAAAATGTCTTAGATCATAGCATTCAAAAAAAAAAATTTTTTTGCAATTCATAATGATAACCATAATCCTACATATAATTCGTAATCAGCAAAAATGGAAGCAGTAAGCAACTGCTCTTATTAAGAGTTCATCAAAACACGGAAAGTACCTGCATTTGAACCCATGCTTATCAACTTGATTCTTTTTCAAAGCTTCACTACATTTGTCACAACTGAAAAACACCATGACACTACCTGAAAAAAAAAAAAAAAACAACAACAAATATTACTATATCAAGTTAAGATTTAAAAATTAAAACAAAGAATTGTAAATATGCTCTGAATCGATGGTATCGGTATATCGAAAAGTATTTGAAAACGAAAAGGAAATATTTATTTAGACAGATAACATCACAAGCCATTCATAATACAAATATCACAGAGGACCAATAAGACATACAAAATAAATAAATAAATATAACTGTAAATAACACCAAAATGTTATAATTACCTTGAAAATTCACTGAAATAACCAAAATCTTTCAAACGTTCAATAAAAGAGAAAAAAAAAAATATTAAGCAGAACGTTTATTAGCGTTAAATTCCGGCAACAGAGGTTGATAATGAAAGTTTGGACCAGATGAAGTCAAGATAAAATATTTCCCGTGAAAATCAAAAAGTAAGGTACAGTGAAAAAGTATATTGGTTAATACAACAACGTATTCAGCAATAGCAAACAGTGTATATATCCCAGGCTCACAATATGTATTATGACGCTCGAAGAAATATACGGCAAGCAGAAGCGATAGCATTGATATGGAACACATAAGTACTTTGTATTGGAATGATTTTTCTCCCTAAATAAGAAAGAAAAATTAGGAATACATCAATGTCACTAGTGAAAAACAGATAATTCGATACAATATTATAATAAATAAGTGCGATAAATTCCACTACACTAATATTCTCTCAAACATGAGTAATGCAGTGGACTGCTGTGAGATCAAATCTTTCATCATGCTATTTTCCATTTTCAATTTTTCAATACAATTAATGCAAAAATTATAAAACAAAAAAAGAAAACTAACTAGTGAAGATGTACGACGTCTACCAGAATATTGAAACAGAGTCGTTGCTACAAGCATATATATCGTTGAGCAGAGAGCAAATCCAAGAAATGATACTTTATGTACAACTAAAATATTCATATTCATTTGAAATGACGACTATTCTTCATTGTTTAAATAACTGAAACTCAATAAAACATACCATAGTTTTCGACTGATGAAGCAGTAGTTAACAGAAGAAGGAATAAAGCTTCAGCGATATTTAAAAAACATGCTATTTGACAAGATAATTCAAACCATGTACGATCAGTTAACGGTCGTAACGGAGATGTTAGCAACAGATTCCTGTTGAAAAGAAAAAAAAAATGAAAGATAACACAAATAATAAATTAATGAATGATTATCACAAAAATGAAAGTAATATAGCAATAAATAAGGAAACTTACTTATACGCCAAAGCCGCCACAATACGCGGTGCAGAATGCAAAGCAATGAAAAACCTCCAAATATAGCGCTCTGGTGAGAAAGATGCAACAGCAGCCGATATGGAAGGCAAATAATTTACAACACCGCAATGGGTTCTAGTAGATTCATCCAGATGTAATGCTAATGATAATGATATGCAAAGAAATAAGGCAGTGAAAGGTAAACCTGCCGTAATAAAAACAAACCATCGGAATGAAAAGCTCAACAATTCCTCCTCAGCTACTAATGCCATCTGATATCCATTACTGTAAATTAAAAATCCTACTTATCAAAACAAAAGATATATTTTCAGCAGTTTGTCAATAAAGCGTATGATTTTGACAGCAACATTATCCGTAGAGCTTTTTTAATATTCACTGTCAACTACATTCCTCTGTACAAAGTATGTCTCTAGTGATGAAACAAACGGACTTTCTTACCTTTACATTGAAGAAATATTTTATCCACAAAATATACAAATACAACAAAACAAATACTAAAAAAAATAGTTAAAAACAATCACTGGAAAAAGATTATATCAAATCTTAATTTCATTTAAATACTTTCTCTAAAAAACAAATAAGATTTGTGTCGTCAATTTAAAATTTCAACTATTCAAAACACCAAAATATAAAATTTTCATAATTCTTATGTATATTTGCATTTAAAAGCGATATCATAATACGATAGCCATTTGCGGCAATCTTGCATATTATATTTCAAAGCTAAATCCCAATTAAATTTATTAACATTCATTTCCTCAATCTTTTTCTCCTGAAGCTTCTTCTCCTCCAATATTTTTTCGCTAATAAATTCCACAGGAAAACGGAATCGTTCACAAAGATACATCAGGTAAGCCCTAGCCTGAAATACAATACTAGTCGATTTTAACCGATACGATTTCTTTGTAGATTAAAAATATAAGCTATCAATTGATGACGAAAAAAATTTAAGTATTACGTCTCATTTCATCAGTGATAGCAAAAAGGAAATGAGCACTTTTCTAATATTTATTTAATAAGAAAATAAATTCGTTCTACCTCCAATTCCATAATGTAACCACCGACTTCCAAAATAATTCTCTTTGCTCGAACAGGTGTAACATAATGATGAATATTCCCCTTACCACTACCCGCTTTTGCCCCAATTGCCCTCTTCGTACGAGGAAGCCACGGTGCCGGAACTCTCCATATTGCAAACTGATTTTTTAGAAGATTTCTATTTAAACGGTCCTACAAATAAATTTTAATAAGTTGAGTAAGTGTAAGTCCAAATTCAAATTAACCACACTGCTTTTGCAAAAGAGAGATTGTCAACACAGCTTAGAGTAAACTGATAAGATCCTAAAATAACTGGTAAGGAAGATTTTATGATGCAAATAACTGATTCAACGCTTTAGCTAGAAAACAAATGAACAAAATTAAAAGATCTTACACGAATAAAATTGAAATCATATGCACTAATGAAGCCACCAGCAACGGCAACAAGGCCGTATTGTTTATGGATCAATTCTGTATGCACTTCCTCAACACCACGGATACTGACGAGCTGCTTTGATGACTTATATTTACATTCACCCAATGCGGGATCATAAGTCGGTTCCTCCGGCATTGCTGGCAATTTATACTCTCCGTTTGGTGGAAACACAACATCTGCAATGACAGTGTCTACTTTCGTTCTGATAGGCATCCTAATCCCAGTGTAATGCTATAATAAGACTTTTACTTAACTGCCTGAAGTTAACATTGCGAAGTTCACATTAGCCATGCAACAATCGAAACATTCTTTTACTAAATCTCAGTTAATTAAACTTACTTTCAAATGTTTCCGGCTCGGGTTTCGGTAACCATTTTTTGTTATTTCGTAAAAAACGTACAGAATTTTGCCAGACTGATTTTTCAGCTCGTTGTAATAACATTTTTAATTGCATTACAACATTGTACTTTACTAATACTACACCTAGAATTTGTACCTTTCAGTTAGTTATACGTTATATATATATAATAATAATAGTAATAATAATATACGTATCTAATCACTTAATGCATGTTATGATGCCACGTTTATACATTAAAAAAAAAAATAACAAATGAGAATAACTATAAATGAAATATACATTTAAAAATAACAAGAACAGCCTTTAAACATTATACTTGCACACAGATTTTACGTGTTGTGACAAAGTAGAATTATGATTCTGACTTCGTAAATCATTACATTCAGATTTAAAGGAAAAAAGTCAATTCTTGTCAACCAGGAATAAATTAATAGAGTATAGAAATAAACATTTCCATACTTTTTCTTCACCTCTTGACCTAAGATTACAAAATAATAAATACAAAGTTCTGTCGCAACTGTAATTCGTAAACGAATTAGCCTCGAATCACTGAATAAAATTCCAATTATACAGTCAAGACGAGTTTCTCATCTCTTTTATAATACAATTTATTACAGAAACTTTATGGTCCATTTTAAACTCAGTAAAACTGTTTTCTCATTTTCTAACTAAAATCATTTTAATAGTGCGAATAATCAGAATAAGTAATTAATAAGAGAACAAAGAGAACGGAATTAAAATGACACATAATAGAATCTCTTTATTTAAAAAAGAAATGCATTCCAATATTAAATAGCAAATAAACGACCATAATTATCTACGAACTTTAGGAATGACGTAATACACGCGATTTGCAAATCCATAAATGCTATTGACTCTGAGTAACGTATAGGTTCTGAGTGACGCACGTGAAGCCTAGATGACGTGAACACTTGCAGAACCGTTATCCTGGCGCTATATCGGACACTTAGCAAAAAAATCCAATGCGTTGTAGCGCAGCAGACGAAATATATGAATAAAACACTTAGGGAAAAAGAGAAATGCAAGATGGAGGAGAACGAAAGAAAAAAAGCAAAAAAGATCAAGAGGAAAATCATTGCGGGACCGTATTGTCTAATACAGCTCGGATGATCGGTAGCATTTTCCGGTAATACTAAATGATCTGTGATTTCCTCGTTCTTTTTCTCCCTCGGAATGACTTTTAAGAATATTTGGATTATGCGAGTGCGAAGAGAATATGTTCATAACGATCATTCTAGAAAGTTTGGCTTAATTTATATAATACCTTTAGCTTTTGTTGATTTAGTAATAATTTCATGTTTCATGTGACAGACGAGGAAGCACTCACAGTGTGAAACGGTTATGATCAAACGTACGTGCCTGACGTTGCCAAATAGCATACGTGTGTTTAGAATAGAAGCACGAACAATTACACAATATAACAAAAGGTTGTTTATCTTTTATACTTTTCGTTTGCACTATTCTTTTAATACTGGATGAAAAGAGACAATAGTATTAGTTTAATCTTTATCTGAGAGATAGTGGAATAGATCACTGTGAAATAGGAAAATTAGATTATCATTTTTTATATTCTTATTCTTACATACTGGAATATTGCTCATTTTTTTCTTGAGGAACTTTTTTTTATCAAGAATATCAAAGAAATAGTACTATAAAAAATAGTATAATATTATTAACTTTTTTACAACCATTATTTTTTCAGATTGTTGTTTAAGGATAATTTCCCGACATCAACGACACGGTTTTCATTTAGTGCAGCTGTGCAAAAGGAAGGAGCTAATGAAGCATCAAGTTTCTCCTTAAAACATGAAAATGCAAGACTAACAAGTATTCTTTAATATTTAATTCAGCTACGAT